AAAAAGACAATTTCCAGCACTGCAACACTATTAATTCCCAAATACTTTTTGTAGAAAATTTCATTGGTGTTAATCTTGAAAATTCTCATCGTGAAAACTTCTTTTAAATATTTAATGTTGAGAATTTTTTTGAATCTTTATCTGTTGTTTACAATCTTACAGACTTTATTAATATAAAGTTTTGTTTAAATTCAGAAAATCAACTGTGTTCAATCTGCACCAAATCATTGCATTATGATATAATTCTTACAAATCTTTGAAATTCCTTTAATTGAAATTTGAGAGATTCAGACTTAGATTTGAATCTTAAAGCATTATAAAAAGTAGGAAGATCAGGAAGATCATTAGGTATTTGAAATAGCATTTAATGGAATTTCAATAATTGCTTCTACAGTTGACAAAACAATTGAGCTCATTATCTTTAGATAATTTTTTTAATATGATGGAGCTGGATTGGAACCTTCAGAGTAGAAATGAAATACCCTTTTGTAAGCTGGTTGCAGTTGTCATACCTTTTGGGTAGAAAAGCATAAAATACTCTGATGTGATAGTTGTCATTTTCTGATTATTTTTATGTAGTAAAATCAAAGGTTTTAATATTGTATTCTTTTGGCTTGTATTCACCATACAAAAATAATTTGTCACGGCCAACAGAACTCCAAAAGAATTGTTCTTTTAACTGCTGTTGACTGTTACATAAAGGGTTGTCTTTTTCTATCCACTTACCTGCCACTCCCTTGGATAGTGATTTATAAAGTGCAGGTGTTTGTTTTTGCAACAGCTTTAGGACACTGACTGACTTTCACATGACAAATTAAAGTTTCTAAATAAATTAATTGTATTTTTTCTCAATTTTTAGTTTCCAACATAAAACTATTTTCAGTTTGATATTAGATGTACCAGTTTTTATATATTTTAGTCCATAGTTAAGTGTCTTTGTACTGATATTTTTTAAAATTTGATCTAACACTCATTACAAAATTGTTCTGTTCATTGTTCCTAAATATAAAATATGTTACAATTGACTGAATGAGAAGAATTTACAAATATTACAATAGAAATACAGTAGAGCATCGATTATCTGACCCCCGATTAACCGTCCGTTCTAGTCGGCAAATTTCAAATGTCCGCTAGTGATGTGGCACTACAATATTTGACTATGTCTTGGCTACTTTAATGTTATTTTTGTTAATTTTTTGCGTGTTTTAGCTGGCAATGTCGGCTCCACCATAGAAAGGAGACCAGTATTTAAACGAGACTTAATTTTCTAATTATGAGTAGTTGTTTGTTTTGTGAGCAATAAAATAATTTAAAAATAATTTTTAACGATACAATAGCGACGATTATTATTTAAAAAAAAATTTTTGTTAGGTTTAACATCGATGAAAATTCAACACGAAGTTGGTAATAGCGATATACTAATATACTATAGTAATAACGTATTTTTTTCATTCTTTTCGGTTATCCGATTTTTTCAGTTATCCGACCAACCTGAGTCCCCAATTGAGTCGGATAATCGATGCTCTACTGCAGGGGTCGCCAAAGTGTTGGTTGTTGGCTTGAGGGGTAGATGCGGCTAAGGGGTCACAACCTTTTTTTTTTCCCCTTTTTGCTTATAGAGAGACCAAAACGTTTTTTTTTTTTTTTTTTTGCTCATAAACATACACTTGTAATAAAACTTTACGGGGGGGGGGTAAATGTGAGGCTTTGGAAAGTGGTTGGGGGTCGACGGTTAAAAAAGTTTGGCGACCCCTGCTCTACTGTATAATAAATATAAACTCTTATTTCTTATATCTGACATGATTTGATCTTAATAGCAATAAAAATCCATTTTTCTTTAATGATGATAACATTGATTTGTTAAATTAATACTCAAAGAATTTTGATTATCCAAACTTCTAAAAATGTTTTGCCAGCATGCTCCTACAAGTGATTTGTGATTTTTTAATTAAGTATTCTTTCCTTATAGTATGGGGCAGATTCAATAAATAAGATTAGTAACACTAACCTAAGCTAAAAAAATAATGTAACCTAAAAGGTTGACACTAAATAATAATGAGAGTATACATTAATACAGCTTGTACCAATAGTCTTCCTGCCAGGTGGCATTTGCATTCACTATGCAGTTTACAAAATAAAATTGCCCATATCAAACTGCACCGGAATCAAACGGCTACAGTTGTTTGATTGTTGATGGCCAAAGCCATTACCCTTACAAGTTATCAAGATCCAAATTCTACCGGAATTGAACAGTGAGTGGTTATTTGATTTTTAACAGCCGAAGGCATTAGACCTAGTGAAATCCATTGCAGGATGTATGCACAATATGGAAAGTCATGAGTGTTGTAGCAGAAAGCTTGCTAGTGGGTTCAAAAGTTCAAGAAAGACCAAACAAACATAAGTCGACGAACCCTGTATACTTTTAAACCCAAATTTTTTGTAGCAACATGCATAACTCTCCACATTGTGCATACATCCTGCAATGGATGTCACTAGGTCTAATGCCTTCGGCTGTTAAAAATCAAATAACCACTCACTGTTCAATTCTGGTAGAATTTGATTTGGGAAGTGTCATTTTATAAACCAATGCAAATGCCATCTGGCAAGGATGACAATTGGTATGGGGCTGCATTACTATATATTCGTTTCTTGTTATTAGTCTCAACCTTATCATCTGAGAGAAGTTTTTTTGGTTTAAAAAAAAGGAATTAAATATTTGTCCAAGAGAGGATATGAATTTATAGCAGATTTTGTTCAAATGAAAATAAACTCAGTAAAAAGATAAAAAATGTTACAGCATTTAACTTCATTTGAGTTTTATAAAGAAACAAACACTTGTATTCATTGTAACTTCATTATCAATTATTTTTGACATTGGACATTACAACTAGGGATTGCAATTGCTGGATCCCTCATCCAGCAATCCAGCTGGATCCAGCACTGCGGATCCGCAAATACTCAATTAGCTTTCTAAATAATGGCGCAAAAGTCTACGTCGTCGGCCTTGCTGCTTTGCTACGTGCACTATCACTCGGCAAGAGCGACGTTGCTGTTCAGTGCAGCACATGCTACACTCCCGCTCTACACTGCACCGCCCGCCCTTTTACCTCTGATGATCTAATTGCCAGTTGATTTTCCGCTCTCGCTAAATAAAGTGTCTTCACGCTAAATAAAATAAGTAACTCCTATCCTAATCTTGGTGCATAATTCTAATTTACGGTTGGTTGTGACATCAATGAATCACGTGATGAAACGATTGCAGTTTAAACTGGCCATAGAAGCTCTCTGCAGAAGAGTTGAGTTTGATAACTGCTGACACAACCCTGAAATTTGTCTTAGACAAACTAAAAAGCCAGGACACAATCTTGAGTGCCAACCTTTCCGAGGCACTCCACAAAAGAATCAGAGAATAGCATTTTATCGAGGTCACAGGGATGCTGATTTACATACAGAACTTGAAGACGTATGACCAAAACGTTAGAAAGCTTTATCTTTCACATGCCGAAAAAAATATAATGCACCAGGAGATGAAAAATATGCTGAATCGTGTAAATGCATATGTAGTGGAACCAGCAGCAATGGCAGAGGATATTACGGAGGTGGAAAACGATGATCCAGATAACCCGGATTTCCTGAATTTCACATTGGAACAAAAATTAGAGATCCAACTAAAGCATGAGAAAGAAAACTTCATGAAACGGAAAGAAACTAGTACTGAGAAGGATTATGATAAGTTATTAAAAAAGGAAATGGCTGTTTGTGAAAGTGAGGGAGTCAGAGGTGAAAACTTATCTTTGATTTATCATTATTTGATGACAATGAAACCAACTAGCGTAGAGGCAGAAAAGGCCTTATATAGGGCGGGATATATATGCAGTTCATTAAGAAGTAGGTTGGGAGACAACACCATCAATACCATTTGTTTCTTGAGATCCTACTTTTAGAAAAGTCAAAAAAAATAACANACACTGCTGTATTGCAATCCCTAATTACAACATGTGGAATTTAACTTAACAATGATCATTTGCTTAATCTTATTCTAAACAAAAAACTTTAGCTTACCAATCTTAAAAATACAATTAATATCCATTTAATTATCTTTAGTGAATCAAGACCCATGGCAGTGTCTCTGCACCAAGTAAAATAGATACTGACTGATATATATACAGGAATCAGAGTTGCCGATTTTCAGGGATTGATTTTGTTGCTTCTCCAAATGCCTTTTAGTAATTCCGAATATCTCATTTGAAAGATAATTGTTTTTTTAGGTAGTTTGCAAAATTTCACATTTTTCAGTTAAGGGGTTGCAGAAATATAAGCAATTGAAAAGTTCAAAAATTCCAAAAAATTTCTTTTCTTCTTTTCTTCATTTGGCACCAGATGCTCCTAGAGGAAAAATTACTGGGTCTAGAAAACTCAAATTTTAAACTTAAGCCTTTTTTGTTATCAGTGAAATGTCAGCAAAACTTCTGGGTCAATAGGTCAAAGTTCATGTGGGTTTCCCCCATAGAGCTATTTTGCTTTTATCACTTAATTGTATGCTTGTAAGCTTAAAATTGCATCAAAACATAATTTTTATTCAAAATGTTAAACAGAATAACAAAAGCTCAAATTTATGCCAATTAAAAATTTTAATAACAATTTTACCAAAAGTGCATCAAAAGCATTTGTTTGGCATTCTGCAAAATGAATGCTTTCTTTGCCAAATGCCAACTGAACTATACAACTTCTTAGCACTTGATTTAATAACACATTCAATATGTAAACAAATTGCAGCAAGTAAAAAATTATGATAATTTAGACAACTGATTGTCATCTAAATTGTCATAATTTTTTACTTCTCAGATGTTTTTCTTTGTATTTTTTCATTATCTGGTATAAATTTTTTCATCACTTTAAAATAGTTATAATTTCTTAGTTAAAATTATATAGAAAAAAATTATTAAACCATTCAATCAACAAAAATGTATTAAATTTATTCCTTTTTTTTTATTTCATTTACATTTTCTGTATAATTATGAAGTAAATGAGCAAATTTTTCTTTTCCAATATTCAGTGTCCTGTAATAATAATACAAATAAAATTATTTTTGTTTTAATACATTTTTATCAATGTGAAAAAAAGAAGAGGAATATTAAAAAACTATTTTAGCAACAATTGTTTTCTGTTATGTCAAATTTAAGAATTTATATTGCAAGAGATTAACTAATAATTAGATAAACTACATAGAAATTATAACACCGTAATTGATAAATTACCTAACTTCACTGCCTGTAACCAGTGTTCTTCTCCAATACAATCCTTCGTATTGGAGAAGAACACCAGTTACAGGCAGTGAAGTTAGGTAACTAATAATTAATTAAAATCAAAATAAGTCAAACCATTTTTTTCAAGTTTTGTTTTCTTGAAACCTTCATTGTCAATATTGTTCACTATGATTCTGACACTTTGGTTTAATGGTGGATATCTCATCTTTTCATTGGCTTTCTTTTTTATTTCTACTTTATTAACAGTTTGTATCTAATAAATGGACAAAACAAATATTGATAATTAAAAATTAATTTACACAATATTAAAAATAGTATTTACTAATTACAAAATAATAATGACTTAATCGAAAAGTCCATGTCAGATTTTACACACTAGTTTCAATTCGACAATGTTCGAAATTAGAATGTTACTTGGTAAGTGATGTTTAATTTTTAAGATATAGAACATCCTGTATTTCTCATATGTTCATAATTAAAAACATAATTTAAAAAAACCATAATATCCTATATATATGCCAAATACATGTGGATGTCTACAGATGGCTGGGCTGGGTGTTAAGAAGCATATGCAGAACACAGTTTAAGAAAGAATATGAGAAACTTCTTATGATATATAATGATGTATATTTTAATATGATTACTCAAAAAGAACATTACAAGTGAAGAACACTAAACAAATTATCTTAATACTAATTATTGAACAAATATTTAAGCTGACACATCATTCGCGCTACATCGTGATTCTAATGGTTCGTCCTTTTTCCCGCCTGTGCCGAATGCCTGCGCACGACATTGGACTTGACCAAATCATGACAATGTGGGGAATGGGCACCACATACATTTGTGTTATTAATAAATGTAGTCAAAAAGCTCCAGGACACCCTGTATGATTGTTTAAAAAATGTGCATATAGGTCTGTCACTGCAACATTGCTCTGTTATCATGCATAAGGTGAGCAGTTCTTACCCAGGATTGTCAAAGGTGAATCTTGCCACTTCCTTTATGAATCTGTAACCAACCTACTGGAATTTTCTGTAACCAACCTTTGGTCACAGAAAATTCTAAAAACCTTTCAACAAAGCAAACAGAAGATTATGTTAATATTCTTTATTCGATTACCAGGGACCACTTTTAATTAAAATTCTTCCAGAAGAATCTGCTATTAGGGTTTATACAAAAACCGACTTTTAAAAAAAACTGGTTTTCAAAGCTCAACTTTTCTACGAAACCGGTTTTAACAGTTTTCAACTTTTTTTTCAAAAAATGGAGATAAGAGATATTTACAACTTATTAAATAGATTAAAACGTTTTAAAATATTTATAACATTTCAAAAATGCAACAAAATAAAATCAACCAACGTCTACACAATACAAAACAAAAAACAAATGCTAGAATATCACATTTAACCATAAAATTTACTCCATAGAAAACCATAAAGAAAAACAAACAACAATGGTTGCCTACAAAATAATATTTTATTTCTTATTTTTACTAAGAAAATATGATTTTAGAAAGCAAAGAATGTCTATAGATCTATTGCTCAACCATGTCCTTATTTTGCACACAAAATTGCCAGAAATAGAAAAAAACTCTCTCGCTACTAAGCTGGGTTTAATCGTCTTTAAAACATTAAATAATAGATCTAAATTTTTCATTCTTCTGTTTGTATCCTCTAATACTAAAAACTCCTGCTTTAATGTCTTAGGACTGGACGAACTCATTTTTTCAAGTTTTTGAAGATATTTATGTAATTTATCTTGCACGACCCAATTTTGGTGGCTGTAACTCACAAAGGGTTGCTTGTAGAGGTATTGTTCCTTTGACTTTTTTGCTCCTATACATATGCTCTACAGTTCTGATAAGGTTGCATAAAGGTCCAACTATCTCATTCAGAGCTTGAATTAAGCCAAATTTGACACTCTAGGCATAGGGGGATTTTTTTTTTTTGTATTTATTTAACAATATTCCTGTTTTATGACAGAGACGATTTTGTGTCAAAATGTAAATATTTTTAATCTAATAATTAATTTATTTTTATATTTTATGTGTAGGCTCAAAACCCGGTGTTTTTACTTGTGAAAACTTGGTTTTCAAATTATACAAATTTCTTTGAAAAACCAGTTTTTAAAAGCTGACAAACCCTATCTGCTATCAATATGCAAGTTACTGAGAGAGAGACTCCAAACCCCATACAGAGCATTGAATCAAAACATCCAGACAGGAACATCATTCCATCATTGATGGAATGATGTTCCTGTCTGGAATTCCATCATTGATGGAATGATGTTCCTGTCTGGAATTCCATCATTGATGGAATGATGTTCCTGTCCATGCATTATCATGCAGGAACATCATTCCATCACTGATGGAATGATGTTCCTGCATGAGCACAGTTTTCCACTGAAAATATTCTTTAGTAGTGAAGTTGAGGCATTCAAGAAGCTTTTCAATGTCAGGGATAATCCTATAAGTTGTATATTGTGTGTATGGTGTGTATATCTATTTTACCAAACGCATACCCACAGGAATGCATTGATAAAATAGAGGAGGGTAAATCCTGTTCCAACAGATTAGACCCTTAGGCTTTCTTCCTAGAAATTTGCTGCCAAATTGATAACAATATAGCTACATAAGCTTCTTATGATAATGATTTTTTAAGCATTTTTATAATTGACTCGGCCAAAATAGCCACTATACATTCTCTGCGTTGGTATCATAAATATAGTAAATCGTGTATGTTCTCAAGTTTATTAATCAAAATATTCTTATTAATTATATAACATTTTTTCTTTATGGTATACATCATAATACCAATATACCAATAATCATCTAACCATCTAAATATATACCAATTCTTGAGGTGTTTAATCTATGTACATCTTATGTTTATGAACTTTTTTACTGTTATAGGATATTACAAAAAAACTTTCATTCTATCATGATTGTTTCACACCTGCTAATCCTCCCTCTCTAGAAAAAATTACAAGTGGGAAAAATTTTATGCTATTCCAGGAATGTGAGCAAAAAGGTGAGAGAATAAAACAAAAAAATGCATTTTAGAAATTCTGAGAATGCTTTCTGAAAGAATATGACATATACAGTGGTACCTCAGGATACAAAATTAATCCGTTCCGAAACTGAGATCATATCACGAAAATGTCATAAGGTGAATCATTTTTCCCCATATGATTACATGTAAAACCAAATAATTCGTTCCAACATGAAAAACACACTCAAACTAAAACTAAGTTGTACATTAAAAAAAAATAACTATAGTAAGGAAAACACTGAAAAATGCATTTTGTAGTTGTAAATGTATAAATAACCATAATAGAATAATAATTGATTAAAAAAAATGTAGCTATATTTGCACTTTACCTTTGAGGATAGACGACGGTGGAGGTGTAAACTGGTAGCGGAAGAGTGCGAGAAGGGAAATGATACTAAAACTTAACTTACATAACATAACTCGTCAGAGACTGCATTTCTTAACTAAATACACTCAAACAAACCTTTACATATGCAGCCGTAATTTAATAGATAAATTCAAACGTTTTCGACCATATTCAATGGTCTTTATCAAGAAAAACTGAAAAATCGAACTTCAAATTAAAAATTTGCGTTACCGATGCAAGCGTTATTTTTGGAACGTTTTTAAAAAAGATTTTCTATCGTATAAGCACCATCTCTACATATTGGCTATAATTAGTTAAAATAATACCAGTAAGTACATTAAAACACAATAAAGTGTTAAAATAATGCCCGTAAATATATTAAAATACAATAAAGTGCATATAGAAACAAGAGTTAAGAGAGTTGCCGCTATGCTAACTTTCTTGACTCTTATATTATGCATGTTCGCCATGCTGCCGATATTTTGCTTGCATCCCGGAAGTTGATAGCTAAACCTTTTTGGCTTGTTTTGCAGATATGCCAGGCTTCGGCGTATCTGAGGTGCTTTCTGTCGCGTACTATTTGTACCAATTTAGCTTGGTCCCACTCCGCTTTGACCTCTTGTGGGTCGGCTAAGACGTACGTCGCCAGCGCTGTGCATGGCTGCTCTTTTCTTATATTTCTCTGATGCTCTAACAGCCTTTGTTTGATGGATCTTCCGGTGGCCCCGATGTAGAACATCATATTCTGCCTCCGTGTGTCTGTAACCGGGATTTTGTAGACTCCTGGAATAGTGTTCTTGTCCACAGCATCTTTGTCTGCCCTTAGCAACTGATAAATAGTGGGACTCCTTTTGTATACTATTCTTTTCTTTGTAGCAGCTCCTATTCGCCTATATACGTTGCTTAGCGNTGCAGCAGTACCCAGGACAGAAACGAAGAGCTCGGTTATATCAATAAATTAGCTAAGAGACACGGGATTAATACTAAAGCTATAAAAAGCCTATGTAAGACACGTAGCAAGATGAGAAGTCTACAAAATACAGAAGAGTTCACAACGATGGAGTACAAGGCCTCGCTAAGCAACGTATATAGGCGAATAGGAGCTGCTACAAAGAAAAGAATAATATACAAAAGGAGTCCCACTATTTATCAGTTGCTAAGGGCAGACAAAGATGCTGTGGACAAGAACACTATTCCAGGAGTCTACAGAATCCCGGTTACAGACACACGGAGGCAGAATATGATGTTCTACATCGGGGCTACCTGAAGATCCATCAAACAAAGGCTGTTAGAGCATCAGAGAAATATAAGAAAAGAACAGCCGTGCACAGCGTTGGCGACGTACGTCTTAGCTGACCCACAAGAGGTCAAAGCGGAGTGGGACCGTGCTAAATTGATACAAATAGTACGTGACAAAAAGCACCTCAGATACGCTGAAGCCTGGCATATCTGCAAAACAAGCCAAAAAGGTTTAGCTATCAACTTCCGGGATGCAAGCAAAATATCGGCAGCATGGCAAACATGCATAATATAAGAGTCAAGAAAGTTAGCATAGTGGCAACTCTCTTAACTCTTGTTTCTATATGCACTTTATTGTATTTTAATGTATTTACGGGCATTATTTTAACACTTTATTGTGTTTTAATGTACTTACTGGTATTATTTTAACTAATTATAGCCAATATGTAGAGATGGCGCTTATACGATAGAATATCTTTTTTAAAAACATTCCAAAAATAACGCTTGCATCGGTAATGCAAATTTTTAATTTGAAGTTCGATTTTTCAGTTTTTCTTGATAAAGACCATTGAATATGGTCGAAAACGTTTGAATTTATCTATTAAATTACGGCTGCATATGTAAAGGTTTGTTTGAGTGTATTTAGTTANAAAAATTGTTATATATTTTAGAATTTAAATTGATGTTTAAGTTTAGATTTATCATAAAAATTTCCACAACTCATGCTATTATAATGCATGAGTTGTGGAAATATAAGTTAATATTTCTAAATATATATCCAAAGAGGTTTGGCTTTGCCTACTTTTTAAAATGTTTCTAAAATGACTTAGGCAAATGTCATTACTCTGAGTAGCAATATGGCCAGTGTGAACCTTGTCAGAATGTTTCTTTTCAATAAAATCAGTCACTTTCTGATAATACCTCAAGATTTCCTTTATCAAGCGAGATCCTTCCATGACAAAGCAAACACGTGGACTGAGACCAAAGTGAGTAAAAAATGTTAACCAGATCTAATGTAGGCTTTGTAATTATATGGTATTAATACAGGTATCTCTCATATAACACAGTAGTTACGTTCCTAAAAAGTGCCTTGTTATGCAAATCCATGTTATATGAAACAAGGGACTAATACAAAACAGGCATTTATTTAAACACGTTTAAATAAACTTTACTAAATACAAAGATTAATCTATAAAAACAAAACAGTGACAGTCTTAAGGGCTAAAGTCTGGGAGCAATGACAACACCTGGTTGATAAGAAAGCTAGGACAAGGAAAAAATTGCACTATCAGTTTTCATTAAAGAAAACCTGATGAAAGGCACAAAATAAATTTAAAATTTCAACATTCTAAAACTCATGAGCAAATTTGAGACAACATGCATGTTTACTTGAAGAAAAAATTTTGAATAATGAAGTCTGTACTTAAAAATTGTGAAATTTTGTATGGAGACTTTTCCAAATTCTCAGTGTTAGACCTAAACCAAAAACCATATTGTATGGAGACATCTCCAATTTTCAGTGTTAGAGCAAAACCATGCTGTAGAAGTATCATGTTGTATGAGGAATAACTGTACAGAATTCTTTCTTCCAATCTCAAAATGAAATCTAAATATATAAAATTGCTTGTCCTGACTGACTGACTGAATGACTCACTCACTGATTCATCATCGCCCAGAGCAAACCGCTTAACCTAGAGGTGAAATTTGGTAGACAGTTAGGGTAAGTCACGGAAATGCACACTAAGAAGGGATTTTTCAAAATTTTCCCGCGGGGGAGAGGGAGAGCATTAAGGCTTAACCGGAAGAACGGCTTCTACTGTACTATTTTAGATGCGATTTTTTGTTTTTATCTGCGTTTTAGTAGGGTATGCCATGGCAATGTACACTAAGAAGGGATTTTTCGAAATTCCCCCGCGGGCGGGAGAGGGAGAGAATTTAGTCTTCATCGAGTATTTAGATGTATTAAACATTTCAGACATTGTTATAAATATTTTTATCAATTTCGATTTTAAAAATGTTCGAACCGTTTTAAATTTGAATTTGTTATTGCATATTGGTTCGATTATAGAACGATTGTAAACATTCCAGAAAATTGATCAAATTGAAAATAGTTCGTTTGATTTTGAGCAATTCTCATCATTCTCAGCAGTAGGTGTTATATAACAATTACTATGGTTGTTGAAATACTGAATATAAATGGGGTTTGCTTGCAAAACCTCCGCGGGCGAAGTCGCGGGTAACTGCTAGTATAGTTATATATAAAGAGGTTAGTTTATAGCAAACTTCTTTTACAAAAAATATTACTATCAAGAAACATACACAAATGGAGCTTTTACTATAGAAAAGACTATTTAGAATAATAATAATAAAATTTCTCATATTTTATAGATTATATATTTATAAATGTTTACCTTTTTAATTACATTTGAATTAATTACAGTTGGATATAAAACAGCAGCATTTGAGAAGAAAACTGTTGTTTTTGGAAGTGTAATATTGTATAATTTGGGAAAATGTGTAAATTCTCCAAAATCTGAAAACAAAAAAAAACCTACTTATTTTATTAAATTTTTAAGAGTTAATAGAATACAGTCAAATCTCATTACAGTAATTATTGATACAGTAGAGCCTCGAAACCCCGGCACTCCGGATAATTCGGCCACACCTTGGCAGGGTGAAAACAAACTTAGGCGAACTTAACTTTCCCGTTTAAACTTAATCTTTTTATATGGAATGAAGATAGCACTGATTGACTAATGAGCGCTTCGTAGTCCTATTGGAGGTCTGTGCGATCGTCCGATGATCAACGGCCAATCATCTATTCTGTTTTCAAAACTAACGGTCATTTCTCGATCCGTATTTCTATGGCGACAACCGTTGCTTGTTTGAAAAAGAGGAAAAGTGTGGGAACCATACATCTAAACAATTCCATCATGACAACAGTACTCTGCAATGGCATCTTCCGTTAAAAGAAAACAAGTGAACATGTCTATGGAGCAAAAGTTGTGGGCATTAAAGAGACTGGATAATAGAGAAAGTGTCAGTGCAGTGGCTAAGGACTTGGAAGTCGGCTAGATAATTTTCATTGTAGACAGCTTTATGCTTTTCTGAGGTCTTCTTATCAGGTAAATTACTGTACACAGTGTATTCATTAATTTTCATTTTCATGTAGTAAAGGCTCTATGCCTTCATAAAAGCTGTACTTTTCCTTTGTTTAAGAGTATTTGGACAGTTTATTCTCTGTTGTATTCTCAAGTAAACAATACATACAAGTACAGTACAGTATTTTCTGAGGAAACACGTATACTTATCCTTTTTTAATGCCATTCCCAATAACCCGGCATTTTCATAAACTCAGCCACCCTTCCGTCCACATTAGGCAGAGTTTTTGAGGCTCTACTGTATAATGATAAATCCCTCCATAATGATAAGCTAATATTAATTGCTTAGGGAACTATTTCTTGACATAAAAGTCTCTTAAGTGAATGATATCTTCTACTGTGATAAATCTCTGTTCAGTGATACATTTTTTTACACTGTACTCATAAAATACATAGTATTTTTCTTTTTCTACAATAATAATAATAATACAGTTATTCCAATTTGTCTTTGGATTTTTTCCTGTATTCAATGCTTATCTTCCAGCACTTTCAATTTAGCTCTAACTACTACTACACCAACACCACAAACATTACCAGCATCAGTAGCATCAATACAAATGAGAACAAGGTTGTCAGATTTAATGTTTTTGGTATTTTGTTGCCTAAATTTTTGTCCAAAATTAATTATCTTTGTTTTCTTTTTTAGCTGAAACATTAGCTTTTAAGGAAAATTTTTTTATGATATTTAACACAAAACAATGAAGGACATCAGTTTTATTTTTTGGCACTTTTTGGACTCATATCTATCCAAATTTGAAATTTCATTAGGCAATTCTAGATAGTCATTGTCTAGCCATATGGACATATAACAACTCATTAATACAGTAGTTCTGATTGTGAAATTTTTTTAATGATATTCCAGTTGAATACACATCTACCAGTAAAGCTTTGATGATGGGAACAATTTTCTCCCAGTGACTCCAAAGAATGGATAAGGAAATGAGATGCAATGCAAGAAAAAGAAAGTTTCACTTCTCATTCACTGCTGTACAGCCCACAACTTGCCAGTTTCGAGAATACTTCTATGAAATGTGGAGCAGAATTTTACACCAGTGTAATTTTTTTAAAATCTTTTAAATTGTTTAGAGTGGATAAACAATATTTTACGTATTTTTTTTATTATTATCTTCCAATGACACACACCAAATATCATCCTAATCAACTAATCCAAATATAAGTTATGCAAAAATTGTCATTTCTGTACATCCAAAGGTTATAGGACATAGTATCTCAATATAATTTCTGGGGAACTTTGTTATATTAAACTCATTTAACATAATAAAGTTCTTTTAGAAAGTGTACAAGATGTCTTAGTGTTGCAAATTTCACTTATTAAATAATTAAAAAAGCATTCTCCTTAAAAACTAAACTAATTCTAAAATATAATTTTTTAATTTTACTTTGTTCATTTTTGTCTATGAAGATTCAGGTTCTGACTGATTTAGTATTTTGATGTTTAATATATACTGTAAAAATAATGTGTAATAAAATCATTTAAATCTTGTCTAGAGGAAATGAATAATACTACAGTAAGACCTCTGAAACCATATGTTGACCATCCAAGGGACTGAAGGAAACTGGTGTACTGATATGTAGATGTGCTTCATTTTATTGTTCAGCTTTTATTAGAGAATGTCATCAGAAACACTCAGTGAAAATACAGGAAAATCATTCATACAATACTTTATCATATAAAATCAATATATTTACATATTTATTGTTTTCTCAAGGTTTGGTCATTCTTTCTGAAAAAAAAGTCAATTTTAATCTTTCTTATTCTTTATATGAATGTAAGTGGAGAAAGCACTCTCAATGTTCGCTACACCACTCAGCTTATCTGTGTTTTTCCATGGCAAATGAATAATGCAGTTAGCATTATCAAATGATTGACATCCTCTTCTTTCAAAATATCTGAAATTTTTGTGTCCTCCTTACTTAATTCTTCTTCTTCATTTGCTTCCAGCACTTTTCAGCTGGGTTGTACTTCGGTCAATATTTGATTGGAAAATTATCTCTGAGTCAGGTTCATTGCAGATTGCCACTTCATCCACTGTAACAAAATCTTCAAAATCCACTCCCTTGAATTTCACCACAGGAGGTGGCTGTCTAAGGGGCTACAAAATCTCGTTCTTGGGTTATAACAAATCCAGCTTTCTTGATATACTTCTGAGTTACTTCAGGCTGAACTTTATTCCAAGCAGAACTAATCCAGAGAACAGCATCCAAAGCTTGCAGTGGATGAATTTGCTTGTGCAGACAGGCCATAGGTTTGCATTTTAGCAATGACCCACTACAGCAGCTGAGCTTAATAGTTCATTTTAAATGTTTTATTTATGTCTTGGTCAAGAGGTTGAATTTTTAATGTAGTGTTTGGAGGTCAAATTTTTGGTTTTACATTTGTAAGATGATTCACTTGGGGATGACTAGGACAATTGTCCACTACCAAGAGAATAGACTGTTTCTTCTTCTTTTCTTGGTTGATACCTCTTACAGTATCCATTTCTCAAATAGGGAACAATCATCCATGCAGATATGTTAGATTTCCAGGTCTTTGTGCTGAAGTTTTGCCAATTTATCAATTACCAAAGGTTTTAGCTTCTCTCCAGTTAACCTGCATACTGCAGAGCTATAAAATGTTCTTTAGAAAGTTTTTTACTTTTACATTTGTCACCCTTTATAATGAGGATCCTGTCAGGCATTGTGTTGAAAAAGAGCCCATACTCATCAGCATTAAAGATGTCATCATCTTTGAAGCAACTGGTTCAGTCTGGAAATTTTTCAATGAACTTTGCAACAACTACTGGAATTTCATTAGATTCATCATACAACACATTCTAGGAGATTTTGTGACACAGTTTAAATTTCTCAAGCCAGTCACTTGATGCTTGGAAATCCAATACCCCAGCTCCTTTGCAAACATTTTAGCAATTTCTTGGATCATTGGGCCAAAAATTGGGGCATTAACTGCCCTCATTTGTTTGAACCAGCAAAATCTGACTTTATCCAGTAAAGTTTTTCTCTTTTTCTATTTAAATCTCTACTACTTTATTGTATCTCTAAGTACTCGTCCTTATGTTTTTGGATATTGCTTACTATCATCTTGCTTACACCAAAATGTTCCACTGTCTTTCTTTAGTTACTATTTTCTAGAAAACATAAAGGATCAACCTTCTCCTTCAATGTCAGCTTTTTCAGTTCTTTCCTTTTCACCATCATAACTTAATTAACAGCAAAATTTCCAGTCAACTTGCATAGAGAAAAGACGAAAAAATAAAGCCTAGTTCTTTATCATATAACTACTTGGCAACTTGCTTTCACAGCTACTGCAAAGCGAGTAAAATGGCTCTGTTTTTCTAATTACAGAAAAATACTTCTGTCAAGGTCAGCTTGTAAATAGATCATTCACATATTCCCCCAAAAGTAATAACTCTCCTTTCATACCCCATTGTGAAAGTAAACAGACAGCCTACTTTTTTATTACCATTTTCACACTTGGAAATCAGTCAAATGACAAAGCGTTTAACCAAATCAAAAAAACTCTACAATATAACAGTGAGTTTTGTGCTATCTGATAGATTTAATTTAATTTTTGTTTTTATGTGACAATTTGTGAATTATGCTTATGTGACCATCTATAGATATGTTGATCACCTGCAGCAAGTTTACAGCTAAGCCTAATTGATATTCCCTACTGGGTTAAGAAATGAATCCATAATTACAGTAGAACCCCTCTAATCCGTCATCTTTGGGACTGGGGTTATGGTCAGAACGCAAAAAAGGTCGGATTATCAGAAAAAAGTAAAATAAACAATCTTCCCCTTTGTCCAGTCTTTGTAGCAATGCTAATTGTTCATTTAATGAAAGAGTAACGTGTTTACGTTTCACTCCTGACATGTTGAAAAACACACAAAACTGTATACGTACACACAATATAAAACATATACTGTAACGAACACAGAACAACGCGACGGGTGGTGAGTTACTGACGAGTCAGGACAAGTTTCTCGACTTCAACCACGGTCGGATTAACCGGAGCAATGGACTAGCCGAGGGCGGACTAGAGGGGTTCTACTGTATCATTGTTAAATTGCCAAATCAAAGTAAAACTATTGTATTCTTTAATATTCTTCTTGAAGAAATTTGTTGCTGAATTTCTTTTTCTTAATCTTTGTGCAAACTGGACTCAACTGCTGAAGTTATAGAGAGTAAATTAATGCTGTGTTATAGCCAGATGGTCAATATAGAGGGGTTAGCTTCCTATTGTGTACATATGGTGTATGCCTGGTCTATGAAAATTAGGTCAACTTAGGGAAGTGGAGGTTGCACTGTGTGTTTTTCTGTTCTAACATTGTCTAACTTTGTAGAAATAACCCTATTTGTAGTCTAGCAATGCTAAATGGAAAAAGAAATACTTTTTTAAAAGAAAAACTTTCACTATACAAATCTCTCTACAACAATATTTTTTCTTACTCTCCTAAATATTTATACCACTATATAAAATACCACTTTGGTATTTTAAAACTGTATATAAAAAATAAAATAATTTATTTGATAATTAATTTTAAGACCTCCCAAAAATTCATATTTTAATTATGATCTTAGGTTCTATAATATTTATAAAGACATTTACTTTTCTTTTTCTGTTCCAGAATTGAATGATTTAATATGGCATTATTTATTACTGGCATTGTGGAATATGATGTAGGAGCTTTTATACTGTTATTTGGTTGTATATTCTGTTGATGAATTGATGTTTGAATAAATTCTTGTTGCATTCTCCTGAAAATAAATAACAAATTGAACTGATTAATAACTTTCATTATTTATATTTTAACATCTAAAATACTAATTGAAAATATTTAAAAATTTATAATATTTGCTTTTCATATACATCTTAAAATTATTATTTTTCACTAATTAATTAAATTTGACAAACAAATTATAAATCGAATTAACAAACCTACCAATCCCAATTGTTGTTGCATGTCACTCTTAATTTTGGATTTTGCTTGATTGGTTTCAATTTAATTTGATTTTGTGATAATTCTTTTGTATTTAAGGGGGGTAACTGTAAAATATAATATAAATTTGCAATATCTGTAAAATATATTTACTTTAAATATATATAATTATAAACAATCAAACATACTTTGATTCCATATTTATTAGTTGATTGTGACACTGGCCTTCTAAAAAAACAAATCAAACAACTTTAAAAAGTTCTATAATTTATCCAAGATATATTTATAATATTTTACATATTCTTTATTATTTATAGAATTATGCCATTTTTTAGTATAACTATATATCAAATATTTACATATCTGGAATATAATTAGGAATTTGGTTCTTATTGTCTAAAATTTTATACTAAGGAATCCAAATCAAAAAATGTCTAATATGTACAAAGTCTTTTCGTTCCAAGTTGCCTAGATAAATTTATCCCATAATGTAAAAAATAGTAATCCTTATATAACACAGTTTTTAGGTTCCTATAAAATCTTGTATAGTGTGAAAACATGTTATATAGATGTAAGAATCAGTACTAAAAGAAAGATTATGTTCTAAATGCTAACAAAAATACACTCATTTTATTTGTATAACAATTAGAAACTTAATTTGTGTTAAAAATAGCAATAACTGAGCAAACTCTCAAAATGTGATATGTAAATGTCAGATAATATAAGTTCATATTTAATTTTTCTTTCTGTTCATTGCTGATAGAAAAATCAAATGAGAGCATTTTCTCTGTTGCAGAATAGATTCATCTTCTAAACTTACTTCTGCAGTTTCTAGATTTTGTGTATCTTCTTCCCTCTTTAAAAAACTCTGTAATCTATAT